GAATCTATTCCCTCCACTGCACCTGAAGGATTCTTGTAAAATGCTGTATGGCCAGGCCCTTTCCTGCTTTAGAATTGTCCATGTCCTCCTCGTGGTCCTTGGGCTCAGTTCAAGTCCCTGAGTGGCTTCACAGGGCCTCTGCACCAGGCCCCTAGTGTCTCTCTGGCCTCAGGCTCCTGCCATCCTACCTTTCTTTGGATCTCTTGCACAGGACTCTGGACCTTATGCGGACTTTCTTCCGTCTGGCATGTGCGTCCAACTCTTCTGTAAGCCTCCTGATCCCCATCTAGGTGTGATTCCTCCAGGAAGGGCTCCTGCCACCCCTTCCCCCTCCTGGACTGTGGACTAGGTACCAAGCCTAAGTGCTACCTTAGTATCTGGATGGTGTCATCTTTGCCTGTCTGTCCATACAGCCACACTAAATTCTGTAAGGACCTGGCTGGCTTCTGCCCTGTACACACGTGTGGTAGACATCAAGTATTTCTCGAGTAAGTGGATGGGTCTGGGCTGCCAGTCATTTCTGACATCTCCCAGGTGTGGAGTTCACAGTGGATGAGGCTGATGAGGAGGCTGTCCGTGAGGTGACAGTGGTGGCCTTTTTTTCTCTCTTGAAGGTGATTAGAATGACTGGTTTCATGAAGGGCCTCTACACAGACACCGAGATGAAGTCTGATAATGTGAAGGTAGGTTGGAGTCGGGCTTCTCCTGTCGACCCCTCGCTTAATGGATGGGACTTTTTGTCATCCAGGTGGTGTGGTATGTGCCGTTTCTGTGCTGCATGTGGATGGAATACAAGGTCGGTGAATTCATGAATTGATGTATATTCCCTTTCTCATTTCATTTTCTCATTGTGGCAACTGCATGTCATGCTAGTTTTATTCACTGAAAAATGGAATTGGTATTTCAAAGGTTAATGCTAGCCCATCAACTAAATTAAAGGTTTTACTGAATTGATTTTGTTTTGTCAGTAAAGATCAGTATTTCTAGATTTGTTATATATCTAAAAATAGCTTTGTATGTAAACAGAAACTATCCTGTGCCTGTTGAACATAGGATAATGCAAACTCTTCAAAGTATTATAATATTTGTATTTTCAATGGAAATATTTCAGGATAAAGATGCAAAAATCAGCTTCCTGCAGAAAGCCATAGATGTGGTTGTAATGGTTTCAGGAGAGCCACTGTTGGCCAAACCAGCCCGAATTGTGGCCGGCCATGAACCTGAGAGAACAAATGAGCTGCTCCAGATAATTGGAAAATGCTGTCTCAACAAGGTACTGCTACCGCTGTCCTGGCATTTTGAACTTAGTGCCTGAGTAAAAAGCAGTCGGGGGCGAGGGACTCAAACGTGTGGACGGTCTAGGGAAGGACTTTCAGTGGTGTCTGTCAAACGCCGTGCTTCGAATCTGATCCTACCCCTTCTGGAGCCCTAGAGATACAGGAGGAGTAATTTAAAACCGAATAATAAAACAAATAAGTGTTTGTTTGTTATACATAAGTTCTGCAAGCTTTCAATATAAAATCGGGAATGCCGCAGGCACTCTGTGCCCAGTTGGCAGCTGGAGGCTGCAGGCCCAGGCTTCCGTGCCCTCTGGCTTTCTCTTTTTTGGAGCTCCGTTGAGGACAGGTAGCTGCTTCCAGCCAGGGCTGGGGTGTCGCAGGAGTGCTTTTTTTCTTCCCTGGGTCTTGTGGAGGTCTCTGTTCTCTTCCTGCATCTCCAGCCTGTGGTGTCTGCTTACCTGTTGCTCTTCTTTGCTCTCTCTCTCCCAGTTGCTGTTTCAGTTGTACAGGGAGTAGATTTGTTCTTGCCCGAGCTTGTCACAGTGGGCTGGAAACTTGGGTGTCAGGCCTCAGGCTTCTCTGGTTAGGTCCAGCCTGGGCCACGTTTGTCCGAACATTGGAGAAGGTCTTCCCCCAGCGTCTTTCTTTTGAAGGCCAAGTAGTCGCCCATGGAGGAGCAGGTTGGGCTTGTACTGAGAGTACAGTTAATACAGTTTTCCACATACCTAGCGGGTGGTTGGCTGGGGGCTAATCTTAAATGTAATGCACATGGGAAGAGGTGGGTTTCAACCCCCTCAACAGCAGTGGGTCGTGGAGGTATGTAGGGGTGTCCAGCCGACTCCTTGGAGGCCTCGCCCTAGTGCAGGTCCAGCATGCAAGCTTAGAGACTTGGAAACAGATTTTGCTGGTACACTGGCCTCTGTTCCCAGGCTCCCCAGATCCCCTTCCCGGGTCCTTTATGTTGCTTGTCTTTCTAAAAAGCACATCTGACTCCTGTCTCCTCTGCTGAATCTTCTCTGGCTTCCAGTGGCCTTGGGGCCGGGCCAGCTCCATGGCATGGCTTGTGAGGCTCCTGGAGACCTGCTGCTACTTTTCCCCTCAGGTCCTTCTGTCATTCCCCACACCCGAGCCCTCCACTCCAGTCACACGCACCCTGGCATTCAGCCCTGGCCCGCTGTCTCCCGTTGGCCTCGTGCCCTGGTGCCTGCTGGCTTCTTAGTGCCTGAGCTGCCTTCCTCCTCTAGCCTCACCGAGCAACAGTGTGGCGCCTGTGAGCGCCGCCTTGAGCCCAGGCCTCTCCTCCCTCCCAGGCCGACTTGGGTGCCCCTGTAGGCTTCCTACAGGCTGTTGTTTCATTGTTGTGTCTGTCTGTGCCCCCAGTACATGGTGAGTCATTGGCCCATGGAGCCTGGCACGTGGCAGTCACTTTGCGTGTGCTTGTGGAATGAGTGTGTGAGTGAGTGGGACTCCTGACTGGAGATGTCATAGACTCTGGATGGCTGTCAGGGATAATTTTGCATTTGACAGGGCTTGAATTAGATCAGATTTCCCCCCCCATAATTTTATTATTGTGTTAAAACCCACATAACATAAAATGTATCATCATAACCATGTTGAAGTGTACACTTCAGTGGTGGGAAATTCATTCATCAAGTTGTGCAGCCATCACCGCTTCCATCTCCAGGACTCTTCATCTTGCAAAACAGACTCTGTCCCCATGAAACACTCACTTCTTCTTCGCCCAGCCCCCGGTCCCTGACAACCTCCATTCTGTTTTCTGTCTCTATGAATCTGACTAACCTGGGGGACCTCAGATGAGTAGAGTCATGGAGTATTTGTCTTTTTTTTTGACTGGCTTATTTTACTTAATATATTTCACTTAATTTCACTTTATGTGCAGTCCGAGTTCTCCAGGTTTACCCATGTTGTGGCATGTGTCAGAATTCCGTCCCTTTTTAAGGCTGAATGATATTCCATTGTAGTGGATCCATTGTATTTTGTTTATCCACTCATCTGTCAATGGTACAGTTTGCACCCACATTTTACCTATTATGAATAATGCCGCTATGAACATGGGTATCCAAGTATCTCTTCAAGACCCTGTTTTCCATTTTTTGGGGGGATAAATACCCAGAAGGGGAATTATTGGGTCATATGGTAAATCTGTGCCTAATTTTTTGAGGAACTGTTATACTGTTTTCCATGATGGCAGCGTCAGTTTACATTAATGCATGAGAGTTTTAATTTCTCCACATCATTGCCAATGCTTGTTGTTTTCTGTTTTTTTAGGAGCAACCATCCTAATAGGTATGAGGTGGTTAGATAAAACCTTAAGGCACTTACGGCTGGGATTCTACGATCCCATTAGAAGTTTAAGGTATTTGTAGAGTTGCATGGGTCAGCTTTATTGACCTTGAACACACACATTCACTTTTGACAGCTTGGGTAGATGGGAACCAGAATTCATTTAGCTTGGGTGGACTTTACTGTTAATGACCGAAGTGCTGAAAGTAATAGTTATCAAGTTATCCTGTGCTTTGTATATAATAGATAACATTTTCAAAACATATTTCATTTTTTGAATCTGTCTCATGAGCTATCTTTGAATGATGATACTCTGTTCCGTCTGCTGATCACATTTCACCTAACACCTCATTTCCTTACGTTTGGATGACAAGCTCTCCAGCGATGATGCGGTGCGGAGGGTGTTAGCTGGAGAGAAGGGAGAAGTGAAAGGACGGGCCTCACTGGCCCCAAGATCTCAGGAACTGGATAATAAGAATGTGCAAGAAGAAGAGTCCAGACTTCACAAAGATACGGAGGTGAATTGCAAGTTGCATGTCTTTGAAAATCAAATAGAGAGTCTTTTTGTGGTTTAGGTAAAAACATTCATAGATGATTTTGTTTTTATTTTTTAGGGTAGAAGAGACTCTGAAATAAAAGAGAGAAGTACAAGCAGAGATCGAAAACAGAAAGAAGAATTGAAAGAAGACAGCAAGCTGAGAGAAAAGGACAAGGGCAAGGAGAAGGCCAAGGAGAATGGTGGAGACAGACACAGAGAAGGGGAGAGAGAGAGAGCCAGAGCCCGGGCCCGGCCAGAGAGTGAGCGGCAGAAAGACAGAGGCAACCGGGAGCGGGACCGAGACCCTGAGCGCGAGAAGGAGACAGAGAGAAAGAGTGAGAAGGGAAAAGAGAAGGAGAGACTGAGAGACAGGGACCGGGAGCATGACTGGGACAAGGGGAAGGACAGGGACAGGCGGAGAGTGAAAAATGGGGAGCATTCCCGGGACCCAGACAGGGAGAAGAACAGAGAGCACGACAAACCCGAGAAAAAGGTAAAGTCTTGCTAAAAACCCCGCCTTTCACTTAGCAAGAGTTTGTGATGGTCTCAAACATGATTTTTATCTTATAATGTGACTAGGAAACTGGTTTCCTTTTATGCCAATTTAAAATTATGACAATCTTGGATTCTCAATAGAAACCCAGAGATACCTGTTTCTTGCCAGTTCTGTTATTTTTGGTTCATCCCTTAACAGAAGTTTATTGTTCAGCTGATCATTTATTAAGGCATTATTCAGTGTGTTTCCAACCTTTTTCTACTTCATGTGCAGGGAGAATTCTGCTGGATCGTGAGCTCCCTAAGAGCATAAGGTTTCACTCATGTTCACTCTTGGATGTCCGGCCTGGTAGAGGGTCTGACACCTAGTAGCTTTGCAGTAGACATTTGGTGGTGGAGAGCATCCAGGCAAGGGATGATGGGCCTTTTAGATCATGAAACTCTAGATGGAATTGATCATTCGATAGTGGTTTCTGAGGTCTCCCTTTGTGGAATTTTGATTTGGGAGTAGTAGAAGATAATTTGGAGGAGGAAGTCAGGAAAATATTATTTAATGCTTGCTCTTTTTAGAGTTTAATGATTCCCCACCAGGCATGTAGAGAAATCAACATTTTTCAGGGTTTGAGCTGATTGGCAAGGTTACCCTTGTCCTTGTCTTGCAGGTATTTTAAGGTGTGTTGCTTCTCCTGTGCATGTCTTCTGTGTCGTTTGTGTTGCTCTTGGTATTGCCATGAAGGCTTTGGAGCAGCCTCTACCTTTAGCATTGCATGCAGTGTTGATGTGCAGTCTGAGTTGTGTGCCTGGTGTCTTTCAGAGCATGGATGTTGCTCAGTTATGAAGGATTAGGGCTGCTTTCAAGGGCTTTTAGGCATTAGCAGATAAGTACAATAAGACCTCAGTTTACTACAATTCTTGTTTAATTAAATTTTCCGGTAAATTTAGGGTTGGCCAGAAAATCCTATTGGTTTCAAAGCGTTTTCTAAATGTGTGGATTCCTTCTGGACCCACTATGTGGGTCCCCTACTCGTTCTTTGGAGGATATAAAATTGTAAAGCATCCTGTGAAGCTGGTGGAAGTCATCATCTCCAGCTGCTAGAGAGGAGGACACTGAGGTTGGAAAGGGTTTAGATCTGCCCCATCGATCTAGCCAGGCACTGAGGGGCAGGCCTGGCTGGTGCTGTGACCCCTTCCTCCTGGGACAGCCATCTTGTCTTGTGGCACTGCGTTTCAGGGTGTGCCTGCCCAGGGGTGGGGGTGGGCACCACAGGACTGACCTGAGAAAATCCTGTAAACCAGGCTTTCTTGTGGGGTCAGTACAAGTCCGTGTTGAGATCTGTGGGTCACAGTGGGAAAGGGGGCGCCTATGAGGAAAGATGGTGGTTTGTTCGTAATTGAGCATGGTGTTTTACAGGGTACTTTGGAGTTTTATTATTTAAAATGTCACTCTTTCCCCCTCCTCTGCACGTCCTGTAGTAATGTACCCTATGCTATGTCTCATAACCTGCCTTTCCTTATGAGTCTTAGAAATTACAAGGACATTCCCCATCTTTTGCTCCTTTTCAGAGGTGTAAGAAAAAGTATTTTTCATGGATCTGATGTTTCTGGGGCACCAGCACATTCTGGTGTATTTTGCTGTCACGAGGCAGCCTAGGAAGGGGCCAGCCTTCCTCAGCTCTCAAGGCCTCTGGCTTGAAGGTCCCCACGTTATGTTCCCTAAAACTGCTAATGAGGCAACTGACTTTTTAAGTTTAGAGAAATAGTTCCAAAGAAAATCTTAGATGCTGATATTTGGGAACATATCAGAGCCAAGTATAATGATGGTTTTGTTTAAAAGCATCTGAGACCATGGCGAAGTGATATTTTCCTACTCGAAGCTGGTGCTTTCTCGGCTGCCATGAGATTTGTGTGGATCTCGCTTGGTGGTTTTGCCTGCCAGGCTTTTCTGTGGACAATCTGGGGGCTTCTTCATTGAGCCGTGTGGATCTGGGAGGCAGCTGCATCCTTTCTTCTGGTAAAAAGTGCCAGGCAGGTGTGAGCTGCTGTGAGATGCCTCTCAAGGAATCCAGTTCCCAGGGACTTCAGTCACGTCTGATCTGGGGAGTCAGGAGACTCATGTTCTAACCCTGGTTAGAGCTCAGTCATTCTTTATTCTCTTCCCCATTTTATTTCTGTCTAGTAGAAAGGGTGGTGAGACCGTAGTCTACCCCATGGGCTTTTGCAAAGAAGAGGTACAATAGTAGATATGAAAACACTCAGAAAATTAAGAGTGCAGTTGAGAGGCCAGGTGCTAGGTTAGACTGGCCCTGTGGGGGTCCCGGGCCCCTCTTTTAACTGCCTCTTTTATGGGTAGCACGTGCGTAGTACCCAGCCTGCAGACATGGGTAATTACTGCTGATACAATCGGATACCTTCATAATTAACTTATGAGGACATTGAATTGTTAAAATATTGAACAGGCATTCTTTGCTTTTCAGTCTTCCTGGAGGAAAATCTCGGTGAAGACAGTCTGTTCTCCTTCTACTCTGAAATGTGTCTTCTAGAGAATTGATTTAAGGCATGAGATGAGATGGTGCTTACGGTTTTTATGTAGTTTATGTTATGAGAATGCCTTCCTCACTTAAAGTCTGAAGCCTTTGCTTAAGAAGTATTGCCCCATTCTATTGATAAAGTTACCTTATGATCAGCAGAGGTGACTGGGAGCAGTTTCTCCGTGGGTGTTTGTTCCTTCCCTCACTTCCGAGTTTCACTGGGATGTTTCCAGGAAGTTTGGCATGGCATAGGGATTTGTGTTCCTGTGTAGCTTCCTGAGAGGCAGGAGTGTTTGAAGTCCTTGCCCACCTACTCTGCCCTTACGGGAAAAGATTTCCCTGCCATTGGCTTGGAAGACTCTTGGGGAATCCAGGCAGCAATAACAGTGGTGGCTAATCAGAGCAGTGTTGAGATGTTCTCATGGGAAGAATGATTTGACTGTTGGTCAGTGTTATAGAAAATATCTTGATGTAATTTTAGATATTATGGATTTGAATAATTCTAAAGTTTGAATTTTTTTTTTTTTTAATAGTCAGCAAGCTCAGGGGAGATGTCTAAAAAGTTGTCAGATGGAAGTTTTAAAGACTCCAAGGCTGAAACAGAGGTAAACTTTAAAAAATAACCTTAAGAGATGTCAACTTGTAGTTGTGTGGGTCTGGTGAATGCTGTGTCCTCCCCTGGTCCACTGAGGCGTGGAGGGAGTGTATGGTCTGGGCCTACCTGTAATAGGTCCATTTTATTTTGTTGTAAAAGTAATGTGTTACGTGCTTTACCTCCTGGTAAAATAGATGGGCGTGTGTATTCTCTGATTTTCTGTGGGGCACTCCTGGGTTTACTTATGCTTTTATATGACAAGTGTGATGTGTGGTATGATAGGGTTGTCATTTTGGGGAGAAGGGGGAGGTGACATTCAGGATGAATCTGGAGGAGACATAAGTCACCAGGCAGACAGGTCCATTGGGAGGGACCCCTCCAACCTCTGCTTGGCCTGTTCAGGACTCCACCATGCATTTCCTGGGGCTGGGGCTGGGTACGGTAGAAGCCCATCATCCCCACGTGGGCCATCTTGTGGAGGTTAGACTCATCCCCAGCAGTAGAGGCCACTGAGAGGTTTAAGCCAACTTTCGTAACCTAGTTTTGCATTTCAGGAAGTATTCAGTAGGCTGCAGGGGAGATGGGTTAGACATAGAGCAGAGGCTGGGAGGCCAGTTAGGAGAGAGAGGTGGTCAGACTGGAACTGTGTCAGTGGAGGGAGGACTAGGATATGCTGTTTTCTCTGATTTGGGTTCTGCTTAAAATACATGTAAACTTTTACCCTCAGAGTTGCTTACAAGTGCATTTAAGTAATTAAGTATATAGCGACAGAAGTGGAGTCCTCGTAAGCACATCTGATAAGAGATTAGTGTTTCTCAAAGTCTGGTGAGTAGGTTGCTGACCTTTCTAGGGCTGTACAAAAAGATGGAATTCTAAATATAGTGCAAAAAAGGTTTTGGCTTCCTTGTAATTGATACTGTCAGGTCTTGAGTCCTTAATTGTATTGAGTTTTTAAAGCATATGGGCACTATTGCTGCATTTCCTACTTGTTCTTCCAAAAGCAGAGCTTGAAAAGTAAATCTGCTTATGATATCGCTGTGTGATACATCAATTAATTTCTTTTCATTCTTTTTTCTTTAAGACTGAGATTTCCACTAGAGCATCCAAGTCATTGACAACAAAAACATCAAAGCGGCGATCCAAAAATTCAGTGGAAGGTACTACAAAACTTGCATATGCAGCTGAAAATATGGATGTTAGTTGTTTTTTGCTTTAATCTCAACATCTAGTAGGAAAGAACTCCTGTGGCTGGAAAACAGACTTGCTGTGTCTGGGCATGAACAGCATGTGGAAATAATGCAGATTTGTGGCCGTTGCACACGCCTGCATGTGTGCTCAAGTATGTGAGCTGATGGCATCAGGGCAGAGTAGCCCTCTTTGCCGGAGATCTGTGTTAAAATCTAAAAGTTGTGATCAAATTTTCATTTTCTGGAAATACTTACCAGCCGTCTTCATTTCAGTGGTTCTGTCCTTTGCATTGGCAGGCTACATTTAATCCTTACACAGGTTGGACATAGAGCACATACATAGGTGGATAATGTTTATGTGTTTAAAAACCACAGAAATGATGATTGAAGTCAGGCTAAAAGCCGGAGCGCAGAGGCCTGGCCTGTGGTTCGCTCAAGGGTAGTACCTCATCATCCTGCCGAACACAAGAGTGCCAGGCACATGCAGGGAAGCCCTGCTGGAGGCCACGGTGTTGAAGGCTTATTTTCCATTGAAGTATGACATTGTTTTGAATGAGCAGCACTAGTTTCCGGAAAGTCATCCTTTTCCTAAATTGTGTAGGTTAAAGAAGGGTGGCAAGACGTAGCAGTGGGAATTTCTCGTAGGAAAGGAGGCTTTCTCAGCCTGCCTCTGTGGGGTAGCTTACGTTGTGGGTTCCACTCTTGCACGAGAATCAGTAGTGTGCTCATGACCAGCTTTGTGCCAGAAGCCTTTGCTCTCTTTTGGTTGACCGCTCTGGGGTAGGTTTCTAGAAGCGCAGTGGCTGGCACAAAGGGCGTGGCATTGCAGCTTCTGCGTGCCCTTAACGGCCCTTCACCCCACACCTTCTCCAGTGTTTTAAAGGCATGCTGATTTTGGTGGATGAAAAACAAAAAGTTAATTGCTAGTGAAATGGTACTTTTTGTTGTATGTGAGTGTTCTGGGCTTGTCTGATCTGCCCGTCCTTTCGTTTGCCTGGGTTCTTCTTGCTGCTGGAGTCTGTGTTCTTACTGATTTGCACACGTGCACTGCATGTTAAGGGCGTCTGCCAATTTGCCGATTTTTGCGTGTGTTTCTTATTTTTTTTCCAGTTTGTTTCTGCTAATTATATTTGGTTTGGTTTCTGATTTGCCTGAGTGTTAAATTGTTAGGTACTTGAGGCCTCTAATCTTTCTTTTGGCAATCTGTCCAGAGATTTGATATGTGAAGATTTGTGTTTTATCATTCATTTTTTCGCTTAATATTTTATCTCTTTAATTCATGATATAAGATGAGGCTCTGAATCTGTTTTGTCAGACAAATTCATCAGAGGTTCCAGGATCGGTTACTAATTAATTGAACGCTTCTCTCCTGCTCTGTGATGCCTTTTGTAGTCTGCGTTATAGGCTTTTTTGTGTGTGGTGGTTTTTACTTCCACTGTTTTATTTTTACTATCAGTTTCCTATCAATGTTCTTTTCAGGAAAGTTTTAAGCCATCTTATTTGCTTATTCTTCCAGGTGAATTTTAAAATCACTTCACAACTCAAAGAATTCCACTCCTGCAAAATGAACAAACTAATGTGAATGTAATTGGACTTGTGTTAAAGATATGCTCTCATTAGGTTAGGAAGATTAGACACCTCTAATTTCAGTCCCCCTCTTTCCAGAACACGTGTGCATGTGCCTGGCTGTGTCTGTTAGTCACAGTGGTTGCTTGCTGGTTTATTTTTAATTTTTTCTTGGAAATGGTATTTTCTCTCATTTAAAAAATGATTATTGTTGGTATGTAGTGGCTTCAGTTTTTTTTTTTTTTTTTTTAGATGGAGTTTCGCTCTGTTGCCCAGGCTGGGGTGTAGTGGCGTGATGTCAGCTCACTGCAACCTCTGCCTCCCAGGTTCAAGCGATTCTCCTGCCTCAGACTCCCAGGTAGCTGGGATTACAGGTGCATGCCACCATGCTGACTAATTTTTTGTATTTCTAGTAGAGGCGAAGTTCCACCAAGTTGGCCAGGCTGGTTTCGAACTCTTTGCCTCAAGTGATCCACCTGCCTCAGCCTCCCAAAGTGCTGGGATTACAGATGTGAACCACTGCGCCCGGCCTGTTGTTGCATCTTAATCCAGTAGATCTTCTGTTGGTTCTTTTGGGTTTCCTAAGCAGACAGTTGTATCATCTGCCCTTTCCTAATCACTTGGGATATTTGCATCTGTGTTTACTGGTGAGCTTGTGCTCTGGGGTTCTTTTGTATCTTAAGAGATTTTATTACCAGACATTTTTGGGTTTTTTGACACTGAGTTTTCTTGAGTTACCAACAGCCCAGTGAACTCTTGTCTTCTCCTCCTGCTAGCCAGGCGCTGACCTCACTGTAGGTCTCCCAGCACAGCTGGCACTCTTCCCGAACATTCTGCCTTGCTTAAGTAGGTTTGCATTTGGGTAAATGCCCAGTTTCCAGAGGTGTGTGAGACACTGGACCTCTGTGTTCTGCTCGAGGGGATGAATGAGCCTTCACTATGGGATGTGAGGGGAGCATGTTTGTTAAACATGCTTAGACTCTTAAAGTCATTCTGGAATCCTGCAGAATCCAGAAGGCATTCTGCATAAGATTATGACAATTTTTGCTTATTCCTAAGTTGTGCATATAGAGCTGATCACTTTGACTTAATGAGGATATTTTAATTTCATTTGTTTGTTAACTGCTTTACATTACAAATTAAGTTTAATATATATTTTCATTGTGCAATTTTATGTCAGGAAGAAGGGACCCTAAAGCCAGTGAAAATAGTCTTTCCCCTGAAAAAGAACATAACTCTTCCCACTATAAAGCTAAGAAGGAGCATACCCTGAAACAGCTCGGTAAGCTGAGTGAGCCATAGTGGAGGCTGTGAGTGAGTGTTGAGAGTTGAAACTTTTGCCGCCTGGTCCTTTGCTTCTGCTTGGTCATTGAACATGTGGAAGTCTGCGAGGGGTGGCTGGATGGGTGTTGCCCTGCTTGCCCTGGGGCCTGAGCTCTAGAACACTGCCTTCGGGCCGGAATGGAGAGGGGCAGAGGGACCTGTTGGCCCCCTGCAGGGCTGCCCCCGACCAGGTGGGAATTTCTTATTCTGAGTCAATCACAGGCTGAAATTGTCCATTTGAGCCTTACTTCATTGATTCTGCAGACATTTATGACTCAGGGATGCATTTTTGCATGTTAGTTTGTGATGACTCTTCAAGGAAAACGAAGCCAAGAGGAGCAGGGATGAGGGGCTGTGCAGGGAGGATGTCTCTGAGGGAGGACATCTGGACAGAGAGCTGACTTGGGCAAAGGAGGACACAGGTGTGCATAGCCTCTGAGCAGAGCCTCTGAGCTGGGGCAGGCTTTCCGGTGTGAGTGGTGAGGCCGGGTAGAGAGAGGAACAGCGATGGGGGAGGGGCTGGGCCAGTAAGCAGGACCCAGAGCTGCTGGTCCTGGTCCACAGCAGCTTTGTGGTTCACAGTGAGTGCATACAGAAGTCCTTGGAGGGTTTTAAGCAGGACAGAGGCAAGATTTGACTTAGGTTTTAGAAGGCCTCCTTTTAAAACTGTGGAGTGGCAGGAATAAAGGCCACAGAGCAGTAAGGAGGGGGCTGTGGCATCCAGATGAGAGGAGGTGATAGTTCAGACGAGTGGTGAGAGCAGCTTGGGTTTACTGTGCTGATGGGTTGGATGCCACTTGCTCGGATGGAAGGAAATCAAAGATGCGATTCATTCTGGGAGGGGTCTAGGTTCCTGGGGGTGACCTTTATTGACGTGGAAGGTTCTAGGAGACGCTGGTTGGTGGAATGGGTGACACTGTTAGGGATTCTGTGTTGACAACAAATTTGAGGTGGCTGTGGACCAACCAAGTAGAAACATCTAGTAGACAGCTGGGTGTATAGACTTGGAGATAGGAGAGAGCTGGGGAAACTGAAGGTAAAAACCAAAAATGGAGAGTTCTAGCATACGAGTGATGTTTACAGCCATGGGCAGTAAGTAGTCCAGGGGCGTGTGTAGGTAGGAAAGGGTGTGGTGAGCTCCGGGGCCTGCTGTGGGCTCCCAGGTCGGAAGGTGGGGGAGGGAGGGGAGAGGAGGAGGAGGGGGAGAGAGGAGGAGGAAGGGGAGGGGGAGAGAGGGAGAGGAGGGGGAGGGGGAAAGAGGGGGAGGCAGGGGAAGGGGAAGGGGAGGAAGGAAAGGGGGAGGAGGGGAAGGGGAAGAGGAGGAGGAGGAGGAGGAAGAGAAAAAAAGATGGAGGAGGAGGAGGAAAGATGGAGGATCATCCTCACAAAGGAAACAGAAGTCCAACAAGTTGGAGGAAAACTTGGAGAGGAAGAAAGTGTTAGGGAAGGAGAGGGGGCTTCTTGTCAAGCTCTAATGTGAGGGAGTCATGTGGAGGCTGAAAATTGGCCATTTAGTTGACGAGACAGTTTGCTGGTGACCTTCGTATATCCCCTATAAACCCCAACTAAACCAAACACAAAGTCTTTTACAGTATTTTAATCTGTTGTTAACTATTTTATGTCAGGAAGGAAGGAGGATAATATTTCAGCTAAAATTTTAGACTCCATAGTGTCTGGAATAAATAACGAGCCAAATCAGGAAATAACAACTTCAGAAATCGGTAAGAAAAATAGATTCTTTAGTTTCAATTCCTTACCCCTTTAATGTGAATGGCTATGTCTCAGTGTAGTTATACATTTAAAAAAAATTATTCTAAACACTTTTATGTTCATCAGACTTTTTCATGATGTACTGAAGATTGGAAATGACTTGAGGTTTTACTGCTTTAATATGCTAAGTTACGTCACTTTATTAACTCAGCTTTAAGTTAATTGATGCCTTTTTGGTACATAGCTTATGTTTACATTTCAGTCAAAATGGTTTCTTAATTTTGCTGCTGGGATTTCACAGTGGTGTGGGTGATGACATAGAGAAACGGTTTTTCTGTCTTCATCCTGCCCTGCTATATTCTTCTCAGAAAATGCTCGCAGTAGAGATGTTTAAAGTGCTTCTCAGGCACTGGGGAAGCCGGCCTGTCACAGCCAATCATCCTGCTGGCTCAGAGGGGATGGGCCTTGGTTCAGTATCAGTAACTGCGGTCATCTGTGACTACAGATGGAATTCTTCGGAAATACTCGAATTCTTCAGTTGCATTTAAGGAAAAAATAGTGTAAAATTAGACTTTAGGGGGAGATAAGATTTTTGCTAGGCCCAGCTTGCCTTGTATCTGTCTGACTTTGATGAATTCTGAAGTGTAGCTGGAATGCCGATGGGTACACCTTTCTTTCTCTGCATGCATTCCCCTCAGAGCTGGCACTTCTAGGATTGGGCGTGATTGGTACAGCAGCTGCAGTGTGAAAGGTGATCTGTGGTTATTTTATTCCAAGTAGGGCGATTGTATGGGAGTTACCTGGGTCTTTGGTAGCATGGGATGGTGCAGTAAACGGTGACTGAGTTGGAGCAGGGGTTTCCTCTGAAGAGAGCCCTTGCCACGTGGAAATGCATGTTATAGCTCAACCGTATCTTGTGATGTATGTTTTCTTTTTGTGGGAGCTTTCCTCATCCCCAGGCATCTGTGGGGAAATGCCCAGACGCTCTGCGGTCCTGTACGCAGGAGAGGTCAGCAGGCAGTGGCAAAAGCCTGAGGGGTAGACTGCTGGGAGCCCCCATCCGGGTAGCTGGGAACCCATCTCTGAGACCGCTGGGGCAGTTCCCCACCATCTGCTTACCTGTCTCATGACCTTAGCCAGCCACGTGAGGGGGTTCTCTGAGCCACAGTTTCCTCATCATAAATGGGTATAAAGAGACCTGCCTGAGGGTGAAGGAGGTGATGTCCATAAGGTGGTGGCTCGTCCCAGGCACGCTGCGGTCTAACCTGCTTTATCACAGGTCACCTCAGCTGAACTGCCAGCCCCGGATCAGGGCGAGACAGCGCTCATCCTGAGATGGGCAGTGGATGTAGAACAAATTGAAAGCATTCTCCAGACAGGTAGTGAGCACTGTGTAGGTAATATCCACAGGTGTGAGATAGCACAAGCCCCCCGCAGTGAGAAGCAGAGACTCTAACTGTGGGTTCTGGGTTCAGCTTTTTGCAGAGATAGGGATGGAGCCTGATGCCACCTGCTGAGGAGCAGAGTCTCTCCGTCGGTGGTGGTGTAGGGATGGGTGGCCGTGCTGGGGGTCGGGAACAGTGGCCAGGAGCAGAGCCTGCGCTCTGGAGAGACTCCTGGTCCATCCTCTCTCTCCTTCCCCACCCTGGCCCTGTTCCCTTGGGGTCCTGCCATGGCGCGGGCCTGGGCTCTCTGTCCTTGCAGTCGAAGGTGTTGCCTTGCAGTGGCCATGGTTAACATTTGGAATTCAGAGTTTGCTGGCAGTTGTTACAGTTCCTTGATTTCTTCATTGAGGGTGAACCCCAGGTGCACTGCCATTGGGTCTGGTTAGCAAGCCGGTCCTCACAGTACTTCTTAGTGCTTCAAAGAAAAGTCCACATTGTCAAAGAAAGCTGGCCTGTGTTGCAATGACGGACCCAGCCCTAGCGAGCCCTGTGCCCATAGTCTGGGTCATCATCAGAGAATTTGTGGGGTTTATGTTATCCTTTTGATTTTTTGGGTGGATTAAAGAGTTTGGCTGGGCGCCGGTGGCTCATGTCTGTAATGCCAGCACTTTGGGAGGCCAAGGTGAGTGGATCACAATGTCAGGAGTTCAAGACCAGCCTGGCCAACATGGTGAAACCCTGTCTCTACTAAAAATACAAAAAATTAGACAGGTGTGGTGGCAGGCGCCTGTGGTCCCAGCTATTCGGGAGGCTGAGGCAGAGAATTACTTGAACCTGGGAGGTGGAGGTAGTGAGCTGAGATCGTGCCGCTGCACTCCAGCCTGGGCGACAGAGCAAGACTCTGTCTCAAAGAGTTCAACGAGGAACTTACGCATTTCTTTTTGAAAACATGAACAATTTCTTCCTGTACTTCAGTTGTTATGCAAGATGTAAGCTGTGCTTTTTTCTCTTTACAATTGTGTGACACTTCCAAGTTTTTCTGGATCATTAAGCCAGGTCTTTATTTTGCTTAGTTTTCCTCATTTCATGTTTGCTTAATTGTTTAAATATTTTTATTGTGAAAAATAAAAGTAGAAAGAGTACAACTAATGTCCATATACCTCTCACCTAGATTCACTAGTTCTAACATTTTTGCCATTTTGCTTAATGTACAGTTACGTGTGTGTGTATATATGTATTTCTTGAGACGGAGTTTCACTCTGTCACCCAGGCTGGGGTACAGTGGCACAACCTGAGCTCACTGCAACCTGCGCCTCCTGGGTTCAAGCGATTCTTTTGCCTTAGCCTCCTGAGTAGCTGGGACTAAAGGCACCTACCACCACGCGCGGCTACTTATGTATATTTTTGAGACAGGACTTTGCTCTGTCACTGAGCCTGGAGTGCAGCGGTATGATCATAACTCACTGCAGTCTTGAACTCCTTGGCTCAAGTGATCCTCCTGCCTCAGCCTCTCGACTAGCTAGGACTACAGGCATATGTCACCATGCCTAGCTAATTTTTTTTTTTTTTTTTTTTTTTTTTGTAGAGAGGGCATCTGATTTTGTTGCCTGGGCTGGTCTTGAACTCCTGGGCTCAAGTGATCCTTTCACCTCAAACTCCCAAAGTGCTGGGATTACAGGCATGAGTCACCATACCCAGCATATAGTTACATATTTTAATGACCTGTTTCAAAATATGTTAAAAACATCCTAACACTTTGTCTGTAAATACTTCAACATGCAGCTTAAAAAAAATTACATTCTCCTACATAGACACAAAAGTACATTCTCCTACATAGACACAAAAGTGTTGTCTAACTCAACTCAGTTATTACTTCCTGATAGCATCTGAATCCCAAGCTGTATTCTCTTTGTCCCAGAAATGTTTTTTTCTTTTTTTTAAACACTGGCTATTTGATCACATTTAACTCAGTGTAGCTAAAATTCGTGCAGAGCACTGGCAGAATGACGATCTCTTGCAGTTGTATTGTGGGCCCAAGTCTGATTAGTTTCAATAACAGTGACTGATAGGGACCGGCCCTTCCAGCCGGCCCACAGGGCTCCTTGCTTTATGCACAAGATCTCATTTGACTCAGGATGGCTCCATGAGGTGGGCAGGCCAGACTGCGGCCCAGGAAGGCTGAGGGGTCTGACCAAGGTGTAGCCCGTGGAGAGAGGGAGCACCAGTGTTCCACCCTAGGGAGTCTTGAGCCAGGGCTCACATTCTTACCTACAAGGTTCCTTGGTTACCAGGTAGTTCCAGACAATAGATTGTGCTTATGCTGTGATTCTTTTTTTTTTTTTTTTTTTTTTCCAATTTATAGCCATTTTTATTTTATTTTATTTTATTTTTGAGATGGAGTCTCGCTCGCTCTGTTGCCAGGTTGGAGTGCAATGCCACGGTCTTGGCTCACTGCAACCTCTGTCGCCTGGGTTCAAGTGATTTTCCTGCCTTAGCCTCCTGAGTAGCTGGGATTACAGGAGCCTGCCACCAGGCCCAGCTAATTTTGTATTTTCAGAAGAGATGAGGTTTCGCCACGTTGGCTAGGCTGGTCTTGAATTCCTGACCTCAGGTGATCAGCCTGCCTTGGCCTCCCAAAGTGCTGGGATTACAGGCGTAAGCCACCGAGCCTGGCTATCATTTTCATTTTATAAGTGCATTATTTATTTTTTAAAAGCTATTATTTGACAGATTGGTTAATCCCTTCTCTGTGATTAAAAGTTGATTCTACAGTGTGGTATCGTTAGTGAGCGTATAGTCTGTTTTCATGTTGTGTCTCTTGGTGTGAACCTGGGGTTTAGTAAAGCTTACATAAGAATACTACTGGAACTTTGGAAAGGTAAAATTGTGCAGAGTGTCGTTGGTCTCTGAATTACAGAATGAAGATAACGCATTTATAATTTACTTACTGTGATGGTGGTGGGTATGGTAGAGTATGGAAAATATTTGACACTTAGAAATCAAGTATACAACTTAAAATGATTAGTGTTTTCTTGAGCTAGAATTGCCAAGCTTATGTTGATTTTTATTTTTTTTGTTAAGAACTTAATATTTCATGTTTATTCTCTGGTTACCCTGTATAAAGTATAAATAACTATTTGAATCAGACTATTTAAGTCAGCAACATTTTCATAGATTGATAAAAATGTCTTTATAAAATTATATTTCATCTATTTTATGTAGTTCTATTACATTATAAATAAGACAGTTGGTAGTTAATGTCAGGTTGATTCTGATATAAGCTGTTTTGAATAGTTTGAAGAAATTATAAGATTGTGTTTCAGGAAAGGGAACATTTTTCCAGTTTTATTTTTGTCTCTTAGTTTCTTTTTAGAGTGGCAGGTCCTTTAACTATGGGCTAGTTTTCTAGCTCTGGGTCCTGTTGTAATTTAGAACCTGTTCCTCTAGCCCCTTCCCCGGCCCCTATATCCCCTGTTTTTCCAGACAGGATCTCACTCTTACACCCAGGCTGGAGTGCAGTGGCACAATCATGGCTCACTGCAGCCTCATCCTCCTGGGCTTACGTGATTCTCCTGCCTCAGCTTCCTGGGTAGCTGGGACTACAGGCACCTGCCACCACTCCTAGCTAATTCCTAGCTAATTTTTATACATATGAGGTTTTGCCAGGTTGCCCAGGCTGGTGCCTTCCTTGGCCTCCCAAAGTGTTGGGACTACAGGCATGAGCCACTGCACTCGGCCCTTTTTTTTTTTTTTTCTAGATAGGGTTTTACTTTGTTCCCTGGCCTGGAGGACAGTGGCGTGATCATAGCTCACTGCATCTCCCAACTCCTGGACTCAAGTGACCCCTCCCACCTTGGCCTCCTGAATAGCTGGGACTATACAGGTGTGTGTACCCATGCCTGGCTAGTTTTTGAAATTTTATATTTTGTGTGGAGACAAGGTCTCCCTATCCCTATGTTGCGTAGGTTGTCTTTACATTTGGGCTCAAGTGATCCTCCCACCAAAGACTCCCAAATTGCTGGGATTATAGGTGTGAGCCACTGTGCCGAGCCTGTGTTCGTTTTTCATAGCAAAAATATTTTCTCAGGTATTTGGTATTTTTTCTGTCTTCATAAACTTTGGAACATCAGTCAGTAATTAGTAGGCAGGTATGTGGAAGTTTTCAATATGGCCAGGACTGTGCACTGTGTCCAAAATATTTTTCTTTTCTTCCTGCGTTCCTGAAACAGCCACCTACTTGCAGCCTCTCAGCTGCTGGGTCTGGCTCTAGTGTGGGGCGAGTGGAGACTGGCAGTGTCAGGTAGCTCCAGAAATGGGGGCGGGGACAGCCTATTCCTCCTGGCCCAAGCAGACCCAGGACACACAGTCTGGGGTTTTCTTTCCCCTTCACCTAATTGCAGAGCCACCCATGGGGAAGGAACATTCTAGATGCATGTTTTCTAAAAACTGCCTTTGGTGAATCCTTTGTAAACTCGCAGTGTGGGAAGACGTAGATAAGTGAGCATGCTCTGTGTTAACGAAGCCGCTGATCACCGGCCCTTTGGTGTACAGTCTTAATGACTAATTTCAAACTGTTTTATGTCAGGAACAAAAGAAGCTAATATTAACTCAACTAGTATTTCAGATGATAAGTCAGCTAGTCTGTGGCGTGAGAATATTGAGCCCGACCCTGCAGTGAAGCAGAAAGGTAAGAATGGTCCTGTTTTGTCCTCTTCTGGCGAGAGCAGTCAGCCTTCCAGAGCCTTCTTCCCAAAGGGCCACAGCCCAGAGCTCAAGGCTTTCCCTTGGATCTGAACGTGGCGAGTGATTCACTTCTGGCTTTTTGCATAAACTAGAATCTAACACAGTGGTTTCTTGATAACGTGAGACCCACTCGTGCTCCTCTGTGCTTTGTGAGTGAGAGGAGGTGGCATGGTTCATCACTCGGGAGGTGTCATGAGTGATCCCTGAAGTTTCAGGGTCACTGCTTGGAGAGCCCCACGGGCCAAGCAGTGTGCCACCCACACTTCATGGTCACGGTGCTGTGGCCACCATAATTTTTCTGTCATTTTTTTTGAATGTTGAATTATACCTCAGTGACATTTTACTTTCATCATAAATTTTCTCAGCCCTAAAAAAAACTTTGGTAAAATAGCCATTCAGTGTTTGTGTTTTAAGGCCTTGGAGCTCCTAACAGGCCTGCAGGGGTGCCGGTGCCCAGGGAATCAAGGCTTGTGCAGGCGGCAGCGACAGGGTGGGGTGTGGCTGATGCTTGTTGATTCCTTCAAACAGAAAATACCTGTCCAAGGCCTATGACATGTCAGCCCTGAGGCCGGGAGTGCATTGGCCAGTGAAGTCAGACTGGCCCTCTGCCTTCCTGGTGCAGATGAGGCTGCAAGATTCACTGAAACCATTTGATGAAGTGGCATTCTGGGGCAGGAGGGGCTTTGGGTGGTAAGGTTGGCCCAGGGAGCCTGCAGGGCAGAAGGGATTTATAAACCAGGATCCTAGCTGGGACACAACTGCATCAGGGCTGCCTCAGCCCAGAGGAAGCGCAGAGCCAGGTCCCTGTGCCACTTTATGGAGTTTAGCCATTATTGGAAGAGCAGCAGGAGGCTAATCATATCTTTAGGAGGAGCAGTATAATGATATTTAGATTTTAACGAGCGGCCATGTTAATTAGGGAGGATTAAAAAGAGTGTCCAGAGAAGAGAGAGAGAGAGAGAGAGAGAGAGAGAGAGGCCTGGACTGTGGAGGAGCTCCAGGAACAGAGAAGGGATTCCAGGGCTGCTGGCACGTGTTGGAGGAGCTGGCCTGGAGCGTGGAGGGAGACCACAGGCTAGAGAGGAGCTGTGAGAGTTGCTGGCGCCGGTGATGGCGGGAGCCTGGGTGGGGACGAAGTCACCTGGGACAAAACCATGAGAGCAGGAGCTGGCAGAGCACTGGTGCCATGGAAGCACAGGCTTCAGGGAGGAAGCTGTGTGCCGTGTGGCAGGTGCCTTGGGTTCTGGGTGACGGGGACTGGAAGCCTCCATGGAAAGGTAGAGAGTTTACTGTGCTCACTTTCCTTCTGGGTATCAGCTTTGTGGTTGAATAACTGCGCCTCTCAGGAACCTTTCTGTGAGCTCAGTGACCCAGAGTCTGTCCCCAACCCCCTGGTGTTTTAAAGAAAGAGCTGGGGGTTTGCAGCTGGGTCTGCTGCCCACCCCCAGGTTGCTGGTCTCTGCTAAGCACATGCTCCAGGCTGCGCAGCCATGAGTAGAAGATTTGCTCTTGGTCCCGAGCAGTCCCGTCCCACGGTTGAGCTAAGTCCTCCAACCCCGTTTCCCCAGAGTGCTGGGGTCTCTGAAACTGCCCTTCTAGTGGCACTATCTGGGACCACATTCTCTAGGCCCCTCCTAACCACTGTGCCCTCCAGTCCCCTAGGCCCTGGAGGGTGCCAGGCTGCCCACTGTGCTGTGGCATTGTGGGGCGTGACCTCTGGAGGCTCCCAGGCCCACACTAATAGGGTCCTCTAGAGCCTCCCGGTTCCCCTTGATCTACAAGCTTGGCCACTCTCCCCCTGCCAGAGCCCCCCTCTTTAGGGCAGCGTTTATGAGCTCGTGACTGTTACGCTCACGAAAAGTTCTCCTGCGAATAAACGAGCCAGAAGTGTCTGGAGTGCTTGCTCCTCACTCTGTTGGGTGTAGACCCTCAGAATAACCCAGGATGCTTTCTCGAGGCTGTGTGAACTGTCCCTGTCTGGGGTGGAGCCATGTTAAATGAGGAGTTGTGTCTGCCCGTGTAGTGTTCTGGGTTGTCTTGGGAATCCATGTTCTTTCCGCTCTTCTGCAAGTGCATTCATGCATGTTGAGAGTGTGAAACAGAGATTTTCCACCTGTGGTTTTGAATCCACCCCACCCCTGTGGTGCCACTGCTCATTTACTTTGACTGTTTAGGTTACATTTGTCCCCAAGACTCAGCACTTGAAGGAAAAGGATCATGGGTGAAGGTGCAGAGGTGGGCCTGTGTTGAGCTGGGAGATTTTCTTCTGCTTCAGGAGCTGATGGAAAAATACCGATTATGTCTATAAGATGGCTGTTGCTGGCTATCTCCCAGTCTTAGGAACGGCTGGGATTTAGCTGGCCGGGTTCAGACTGTCGCATCATTGCCTCACATTTAGATGCTTTTCTGTGGCTCTGGCTTTGTCAATTCTTGTCTCATGAACTTGTTAACTTCCTCTCTCCGATGTGCTGTCTCCACACCCCTGTGTCCTGTTTCCATGTAATACCATTTTATGATGCACGGTGTGTTTACGCTTTGTTTTTCCATCTTTGAAAATAAAACAAAATGGCAATAGGGACATCAGAAAAGCGGTTATGAGGGAATGATCTTTTTTTCTAACAGACATCGACAATTATGTACAATGTGCTCTTTCTCTAATTCTGTTCTCATCGTTTACTATATTGAGGTTCACTTACACTAAAGTTAATTTTCTGCTGTGCTTTTTTTTTTTTCAGGCGACTCCGCCAGTGATGCAGGTGAGGAATGGCCTTAGGCACCTGTGTGTCACATCAGGATGCATGTTGTGAATGTAAACATGGGCTCGAAGATTTATGTTTTATGAAGTGCATTAGTGAAAGTAGCTTAGTTTATGGAAACAGATGTTAACTACCCTAATTTAATTTGAGATTTAATTTGTATGTTTTAAGTTTGCAAAGAATACATTTCAGGATTTTTCCCAGAATATAAAGTATGGTTCTAATATTCAAATTCTGACTATTTTCTAAATTATTAATTTCTTTTACTTTAAGTAGTGGAGTAAACTTAATTGTCTTAATAGTTTAGGCCTTATTATTTACCGCTTAATTCTTTTTATCAAAATGAAGAAAACTTTGTTCACATTGGAAACATAATATGGTACATACCAATGTAGAAAAATCAAAAAATGCAGAAGAACATAAAGAACAAAACTTAACAGCACTGGTAATTCCACTGCTTATAACTTAAATGAATATTCTTCTAGAACCCTCTCTCTCTGCATATATATGTGTACATATATAATTTTTAGATATATTACTGTACTGGATTGTTTCACACAAAAGGGACTAGCATGTGGCTGTACCATAATTTACTTAGTTACCGGTTAATTGTCAATACTATCAATGATGATAAGTGAATATCTTGACATGTGTTCATTTCTCCTCTTGGGTTATATTTCCTTTAAGTGTGGAGTTGATCAGCCTGCCTTTCGAATTCTATTTCTGAAGTAGTTGAACCCGTTTGTATTTCCTGGGCTTGAGTGTACCCATTTTCCCAAATCTTCACCAAGCTTAGATATCAGACTTCGGTTTTATCTTCAACAACATGATTGATGGAAAAATTGCTCATTTGTATTTGCAATTACAAATGTATTTGATTGCAAATAACTGCAAATACAAACGCAAAAAGAATTTTCAAATGGTTGTCAGTGTGTTTTTTCCTTTGTGAATTGCTAATTGATTGTCATTTGTTTAGAAGGAGACGCTGGACCTGCTGGCCAAGATAAGACTGAGGTGTCAGAGATTCCAGAAATTCCTAATGAGCTTTCATCCAGCATCAGGTCTGTGTGCTTTTAATCCCTTTCCCTCAGCAGTGACCACACCCAGGACGCTGCTATGTTTCTCTTTCTACTTCTTGCTGTTTATTTAGCACTTGAGCTAACTTACGAGGAATTACTTGTAGAGAATAGAAAAAAGTAGATCATTTTTCTGTACCTCAGTTATATAACCATATGCAGAATATTTTGGAGATTTAGGGGAATTCAAAATTATGTCTGAATTATGTCATGTTTTGATTAATGATAGTAGTGCTATTTCCTTGGTATTTTGAAATGACTGAAAATATAGTTTAAAAGATGGACACTTTCTGGTTGGTTGGGTTAACGGGACATTCTTCCTCTTCTGCAGAATAGTGTGTCCTAACTAGCCCTTGATTATGGTCTGGAGATGATTTTCCACTTTGAAATGTGTAAGCCTTTCATACTCCTTTTTTGGTTTTCTGATATTTGGGTTTAGAAAAATTCCTCGGCCTGGGAGTGCAAGACCAGCACCTCCCCGGGTCAAACGGCAAGACAGCGCGGAAGTGTTACCGCTGGAGAGGTAAGGCTGGCTCAGCAGGGCAGTTCGGTTACATAGTGTGTTCTCCCCTGGGCACAGTGCCTCCACTGAGCGATGGGAGAGGGAGGCCACAGATGGTGCTGGAAACTTGGTGTCGAGGAATGAAAAGTGAGGTAGACTCTTGCCTCACACCATAGGCCAACAGGCTTAGCAGATGGATGAAAGAGGAAAGCCCCTCATGCATGTAAAATTAAACCTTAACATCCATGGGAAAGTGTTGGACTGCATTTCTCTGATCTCTAGGTTGAAGACTTGCTGCTTCTGTTTTTTTTTTTCCTGAGATGGCGTTTTGCTCTGATGCCAAGCTGAAGTACAGTGGTGCGATTTTAGATCACCGCAGCCTCTGCCTCCTGGGCTCAAGCGATTCTCCTGTCTCAGACTCCTGAGTAGCTGGGACTACAGGCATGCCCCACCATGCCCAGCTAATTTTTGTATTTTTAGTAGAGGCAAGGTTTCACGATGTTGGCCAGGATGGCCTCAATTTCTTAACCTCGTGATCCGCCTGCCTCGGCCTCCCAAAGTGCTGGGATTACAGGCGTGAGCCACCGTGCCTGGCCTCTAGATTTGAAGACTTTCTAAGCATGAAAACAATGCTGAGGAAAAAGTAGGGGAAATTTAGGGGCTTATTTGCACAAAAATAAAAAATAGAAGATGGTCAAAATGTTATAAGCAGGCTGGGTATGGTGGCTCATGCCTGCAATTTCAGCATTTTGGGAGGCCAAGGCAGGCAGATCGCTTGAGGTCAGGAGTTTGAGACCAGCCTGGCCAACATGGTGAAACTCCCATCTCTACTAACAATACAAAAATTAGCTGGGCCTTGTGGCATGTACTTGTAGGCCCAGCTACTCAAGAGGCTGAGACAGGATAATCACTTGAACCCAGAAGGTGGAGGTTGTAATGAACTGAGATCACGCGGCTGTACTCCAGCCTGGGTGACAGAGTGAGACTGTCTCAAAAAAAAAAAAAAAAAAATGTCATAAGCAATATAAAGACAAACAAGACAGGATGGATCAGAGTGGGTTTCAGATAAAATAAGAGGCAGGAATTGGAGGCAGCGGAGCAGATGTGGTTTTCCAGGAGTTTTTTGTTACAAAGAGAAGTGAAGGAATAAGACTAGGAAGAGGGAAAGGCAGTGTCAAGGGGAGTTATTATTTTTCTGATGATGGGAATGATCCAGTGGAGGGGGACATTGATGACGTAGGCGACGTGGGGCAGGGGTTTGGTGGAGCAGA